AGAAGGATTGTATTTAGATGGTGAAGTCTTCCAGGTGCTCCTGTTTGGGGATAAAATGGCACCGGGTCCATCAAACCCTCAAACCTTGCAGACCATTCTGGACAAGATGCAATTTTGCTTCATTCCAATTTGTTCTATCCCGAGGTTCAGTTTGGAGGTGATAATGAACTTTATATAGCTTTTAAATTCACACACAAGGATAATTATAGTACTTTATAGGGTATAATGTAATTTGTATGTGTCATATCCTTTGAGTATTGCAAGTATCCCGTGCGGTCAGCAGTGCACATAGTGAGGCAGCTTGGTATCCTGGGAGTCAGAAGAGCTGGGTTCAAATCCAAGCTCTGCTGACATCTCCTTATGTGACCTTAGCAAAGTCACATGCCCTAACTAAGGATTCAGTTCCTCATAAGTGAAATGAAGCCTTGGCCTCAATGGCTTCCAAGTTCCCATCCAGGTCCAGTTGTGATCCTATGACTTTCTCTAGCACTTGAAGATTTACCAAGCATTTTACAAGCATTATTTCCTTCAAGTCTCACAACATTTCCAAAGCAACTAATGCAAGTGTTACTAACCTCATTTTACAAATGCAAACACCTGGACCCTGAGTAGTTCAGTGACTTATCCAAGTATGCACAACCAGGACGTGGATAGTAGAATTTTAACCCACATCTTCCAACTCTGCATAAAGTTCTCTATTGAAAGTTTTTCTATACTGATGCGGATTGGTACTTTCTATATAACTTGCTGCCCTAGAATTTTCTGAGGGCAATAAGAGGGTAATTGACTTTTCCAAGGTCACATAGCAAGTATGTGAACCCAGTTCTTCCTGATTCCAGGGCCAACTGTATTCACTATGCCACATAAGAATAAAATGTGGGATTGGAAGTATAACCAGAAAAGAAAAGAATTAGCAGTTTTGAGTAGCCTGGAGGTAAGCTTACCAATCACAGCAAATTTATCAGCTCCTCACCACTGCATACCTTATGGCAATTCTGGCTTTTATTCATGTGGAGGCTAAAAGAAAGGACTGGATTCAAATGGTTTGAGATATGTTTCCCAAAAGTCCTAGATTGCATCAAGATAGCTCCCCAGTTTCTAGAACTCTATGGAACTGAATTGAAAAGAAATTGAAATTGAAAGGAATTGAATTGAGATAAATGTCAGTGCTGTGAAAGCCAGAACCTGTGTGAGTTGCTCATCTGTTGCCAGTTTTTTGTGCCTTAAAAAGTTATTCTAAATTTAAACACCAAAAAAGGGCATGTCCGCACTCACAGGAGAACACAAATAAGGATGCTATGTGGAACTATCAATTGCCATGTTGAACCCCTCAATTTGAAAAGTTTATAACAAATTCACATATAACCTTCAAAACTATTCTGCTGCTTGTCTGTGTTTCTTCTTAATTTTCTTCTATCCTTTTATCCACTTAATTTTTAAATTTAATGTGTTGTTTTTTCCCAATTACATATGAAAACAATTTTTAACATTCCTTATAAAAAATTGAGTTCCAAATCCTCTCCCTTTCTTCTCCCCTCATTGAGAATGTAAACAATGCAATATAGGTTTTACATGGTCAGTCATGCAGTACCTATTTCCATAGTAGTCATGCGAAAGAAAACAGACGAAAAAAACAAACAAAACAAAATCAGAAAAATAAAAAAAAGTTTTTAGAAAGTAAGCTTTGATCTGCATCCAGTATCCATCATTTCTTTCTCTGGAGGTGGATAGTATTTTTCATTATAAGTACTTTTGGAATTGTTTTGGATTATTGCCTTGCTGAGAATAGCTAAGTCACTTGTAGCCGATCTTTGTACGATATTGTTGTTACTGTGTACAATGTTTCCTTGGTTCTGCTCATTTCACTTTGAATCAGTTCACATAAGTCTTTCCAGGTTTTTCCAAGAACACCCTACTTTTCTGGGTACAAAATCGCACAAGAATATTTCATCACAATCATATACCACAACTTGTCCAGGCATTTTCCAATTGATGAGCATCCCCTCAATTTCCAATTCTGTGCCACCACAGAAAGAGCCACTACAAATATTTTTTGTGCACAGGTCCTTTTACTTTTTGTTCTTTATCTATGTGGGATACATATCTAGTAGTGGTATTGCTGGGTCAAAAGGCATGCACAGTTTCATAGCCTTTTGGCAAAAAATAAAAGTATGCTTCAATCTGTATTCAGACACCATCAGTTCTTTCTCTGGGGACAGACAACATTTTTCATTGAAAGTTCTTCAAGAATTGTCTTGGATTGCTGTACTGTTGAGAATAGCCAAGCCATTCATAGCTGATCCTCTTACAATATGGCTGTTACTTTGTACACAGTACATTTCATTTTGCATCAGTTCGTGCAAGTCTTTCCACGTTTTTCTGAGAGCATCCTGCTCAACATTTCTTATAGTACAGAAGTATTCCACCATAATCATTTACAACAACTTATTCAGCCATTTCCTAAATGATGAGCATCCCTTCAATTTCTAATTCTTTGCTCCCAGAAATGAGCTACTATAAATATTTTTGTACCTTTAAGTCCTTTTCCTTTTTATCTCTTTTGGGATATAGACCTAGTGGTGACATTGGTAGGTCAAAGGGCATACGTGGTTTTACAGTTCTTTGGGCATAGTTCCAAATTGGTCTACAGAATGGTTGAATCAGTTCACAACTCCAGCCCCAGTGCATTAATTAACCCTAGCTCTTTTCCCTTTGGAATATCACATTCCAAGCCCTCTGATCCTTTAATGTAGGAGCAGCTAAATCTTGTATTATCTTGATTGTGACTCTATGACACTTGAATTGTTTCTTTCTGGCTGCTTGCAATATTTTCTCCTTCACCTGGGAGCTCTGGAATGTGGCTATAATATTCCTGTGTATTTTCATTTTGGGATCCCTTTCAGGAGGAGATCAGTGGATTCTTTCAATTTCTATTTTACCCTCTGGTTCTAGAATATCAGGGCAGTTTTCCTTGATAATTTTTTGAAAGGTGATGTCTAGGCTCTTTTTTTGATCATGGCTTTCAGGTAATCCAATAAATTTTAAATTATCTCTCCTGGATCTATTTTCTTGATCAGTTGTTTTTCCAGTGAGATATTTCACATTGTCTTCTTTTTTTCATTCTTTTGATTTTGTTGTATTGTTTCTTGATTTCTCATACAGACATTACCTTCCAGTTGTTCCATTCTAATTTTTAAGGAATTAATTTCTTCAGCGAGCTTTTGGAACTCCTTTTCCATTTGTCCGATTCTCCTTTTTAAACCATTCTTCTCTCTTATCGGGTATTTGGATCTCTTTTACCATTTGGCCTTCAATATTCTTTGTATCTCTTTACCAAGCTGTTGACTTGTTTTTCACAATTTTCTTACATCACTCTCATTTTTCTTCTCAATTTTTCCTTTACCTCTCTTGCTAGATTTTCAAAATCCTTTCTGAGCTCTTCCATGGCCTGAGACCAATTCATATTTTTTTCTTCGAGGCTTGAATGTGAGATCTTCCACTTTGTTTTCTTCTGCTGAGCATGTGTTTTGATCTTCCTTGTCACATAGTAACTTTCAATACTCAGAGGTTTCTGTTTTTCTATTCTTTGCTCATTTTCCCAGCCCATTAGTTGACTTTTAACTCTTTGTTCAGGTAGGGCTCTGCTTCCTGGGTGGAGGGTGAACTGTCCTAAGTTTCAGGGGTTTTGTGCAGCTGTTTTCAGAGATACTTCTAGGAACCTGTAAGTTTTCAGTTCTTCCAAGGTGGTATGATGTAAGGAAAGAAGTGTACCACTTTCCTGGTCTGTGCTCTGGTCTGTGAACATCCACTAGCCCTCTTTTCTGCCCTGAAACTGTGAGGAGAGCTCCCCCTCCACTGTGGCCACAAGCTCTGCAATGGTAGTGCTCTTCCCCACCTGGGACTGCCACCCAGGATCAAGCCTGGATCCAAGTAAGGGAAAAAAAACCAGCAGAATTCTGCCCCGATTAAAAAAAAACATCCCTGTAATTTCCTTCTGATTTGTTATTTGACACCCCCACCTCTTTCTGGGCTCAGCTGTGGAAGAAGCCACTGCCAGTGCGGCCACTGATTCAGTCACTTACAAGGCCTCTGAAGGCAAATTCCTGGTTTGCTGGGCCGGATCTGGGCTGGTGTGGCCTATACTGTGCTGCACTCCTCTCTCACCCGGTGCAATAGACCTTTCCTGCCAAACTTCCAAGTTGTCTTGGGCTGGAAGTTTGTTTTCTCTGTCTTTTGGTGGGTTCTGTTGCTCTAGAATTTGTTTAGAGTCATTTTAAAAAAAGGTATTTGGTGGTGTTTGGGAGAGAGCTCAAGTGAGTCCCTCCCTATACTCTACCATTGTGGCTCCACCATCTTGGCTCCACCTTGGCAAAGCCTGTTGATACCTATTTTGCTGCCATCTTCTCTCTCAAGAAGAATGTTCTTCAAAGTAAAGAATGAACAAGTATGGTTAAGAAGGCAATTAAGCCTGACATAGTTGAAGAGATAAGAAATAACATCTGAGCCCTTTAACATGAGGTCAAGCCTACTGACAATCTGATCTCCACCACAACCTCCTCTCAGGTTGAATTTGGAGATTTGCCCTCCTTGCTAAACACACACTCATGGGCCAACAGAAATTTGATTGTTGACAGCCCATGACCCCAACAAAATGAGCTGGACAAAAGCCTTCCCTATTCCCATTCTCCTTATGTAATTTAGTGCCAGTTTAGGGTCAGGGACAGAGTCTAAAACAAACAAAAAACAACATAATAACCTCTTGATTGCTAAACTAATCAGAGTTAATGGAAAAAAATCCTGTTTGCCTACAAGGACTAAATGTTTATTGGCTGGGCATTCCCACCCCTTGCTTTCTACCAATGATGATAAAAGTCTGCCATCTGAGCTGATACCTCTGAGAGTTGTAGGACCATCTGTCAGGAATGGATCCTTGGGGACTCACCTCTACTGCCCTACTGACTTGTGTTCTTTTGCTGGCTTTTTGTTCTATGGAGCAAGGATTCAAAAGGAGGAAGCTTCCCCAGGTCCCATTCCTCTTCCCATTATTGGCAACATCCTGCAATTGGATTTGAAGAACATGCCTGAATCGTTATCTAAGGTAAAGGGACTGGATTTGGGTTTTGGATCTGGCTGCTTGGGCTGTAGGAGGAGACACAAAGTCTTCAAATAGATAACTGAATCAAGACTCATGGTGATTTAGAATCCTATGTCATGGATGGTGTGAGTCAAGGGCTCTATGAGTGATATCTCCATTAGCAATGATGTTAGGCAAGCAATAGTTGTTTTGCCAAAACTTTGGTAACAGCAGAAGAAATTAAATTACAGAACCAAATATTGGCCCCTTGCAATGCATCACACTAGGCTCTGTGAATACAAAGACAAAAACAAATCATTCAATTAATGAGAACTTCTTCATTAACTTCCATGTGCCAGGCACTGTGCCAGACAGAGGAGAGAAACATGTGGTTAATGCAACTGTCTCTCCTTGAAAAGAAAATAGTTCGGGGCAGGACCTGAGTTCAGATCCAGCATCAGACCAAACACTTCACACTTACTAGCTGTGTGACCCAGGGCAAGTCCCTTAACCCCAATTGCTTAAAAAAAGAAAGAAAGAAAAGACAAAAAAAGAAAAGAAAATAGTTCCTGTCCTCCAGGAGCTTATGTTTTACTAGAGGGATACAAAAAATTCATAGATAACCAAGTAGAAGGTAACTAGAGGACAGATAAAGCATTTGTAAGTGGGGCAGTCAAAAAGTTTCAAGTAGGAGAGAACTCCTGAGCAGGATGCTGAGGGAAGTAACAGATTCTTATTGGAAGAGAGAATGGGAATAAATTCCAGGCATGGTAGACAGTCTGGGCAAAGGCAAGGAGGTTGGAGATAATATAGATAAGAGAGGACATGGCAAGAATGTGAAGTGTGGGATGAGGGGCCATACAAAATCAATTTAGACAATTGGGTTGGAGGCAGCTGTGGAGGCACTTAAGTGCCAAGTCAGGGAGGCAGTAGGAAGCCCCTGCAGACTTTTGAGTAGAGGAATGGCACATTCAGAACTGTGCCACAGGAATAGTAAGTTGTTAGTTGTGCAGATTATTCATTGCAAAGGAGAAATACTAGAAGCAGAGGATTGAACTTGGAAGCCATTGAAAGAATGGATAAAATATCATTTATGAAGTACCTACTATGTGCTCACTATTGTGGAGACAATATAGAGTAAGATATTTTAGATGCATGTCAGTTGCAAAGGCGTTGTGCTTCTTAGGGAAAATTAACAAATTAGTCAGTTGTTTAGTAACTGGTAGTGGTGATGGTGAGGAAGGTGGGGCCCTTCTCTACAGTGACTGCTCCTCATTGAAAGGATGAGTGTTTGGCCTGGACTGAAAGCAGAGCCTAGGTGTAAGGGCAGGAGTCATTGACATGAAAAGGTCAATTACAAAGGCTCTTGAGTAATGGTCCTGGGTCATTTCAGTTATTTTCCAAGGGAATTTGGTGGTAGTTTGATTTTTTCTTTCTTCCCATTCCTTTTTCTCTTTCCCTCAGGGTGATTTATTAGAGTGACTAGTTTGAGTGTCTGTATCACAAGTTTACTACAGTAGTGTAAAGAAGGGGAAGGGGATGAGGGTCTTAACTAGTTTAATGGACAAGTGAGGAGGCAAGATGGAATAGGTGTGGGAGACATGAAGATGAATTCTACCAGACTTGACCATAGCTAATTGGACATAAGTAAGAATGAAAAGTCAAATATAAATCCATGGCCTTAAATCAGGGTTGATGTAGGTTCCTCTAAGAGAAGTCTGCCTCTTGGGGTCCCTGAAGGGAAATGGGTAAGTTTGGAGGAAAGGGTAGTTTTAGGGGAAAACAAATGAGTTGTGTTGTGGACATATTAAGTTTGCAATGCCAATAGGACATCCAGGTTGAGAAATCCATTTCTAAGCAGTTGGCTATGTGGAGTTGAAAAGTGGTCATATGAATGTGGGAATCTTCTGCTTATAAATAATCATTGAAGCCGGAAGTGCTATGATCACCCAGTTAGAAATTGTAATAGCCTCTTGCCTGCGTACATGAACTCATGCATATGGCATGTTATGAAGCAGTTGTGAGGAGAAATTCTCACTTTCTAAAGTTTCACACTGAATTCATCCTGTTTCTTGGCATTTTCACAGCTGGCTGAAAAATATGGCCCCATCTATACTCTTCATATTGGAACCCGCGTGTTGTGGTGCTACATGGATATAACATTATGAAGGAAGCTCTAATTGATCATGGAGATAATTTTATGGATAGAGGAATCTTACCAATGTTTGGAGATGTAGCCAAAGGACATGGTAAGTTTAGTTTTCTGAAAAGAGTCACAGAAAAGCAAAATGTATGGCAAAGTATCTCCAGTAGAACGTCCTCCTCTGGAACATAGTTACTGGTTTCATTTTAATTGTTCTATTCTCAGTACCTAGCAGAAGACCTTCATGTAGTAGGTACCTGGTACCTGACCTGCCATTCTGTCATTGTATTTTAGTTTGAAGTGAATAAAATTAAACTTGATCAATGAACTAAGCCAGAAACTCCATAGCCATCATACACACTGTGCCCTCCCCCTTCCAATGTAAGAATAACCAATGTCCTCTTCTCTTCTACCTAGGACTTATTTTCAGTAGTGGAGAGAGGTGGAAACAACACCGCCAGATTTACCCTGACGACCCTAAGGAACTTTGGGATGGGGAAGAGAAGCGTTGAAGAGCGAGTTCAAGAAGAAGCCCAATGCCTGGTGGAGGAGCTCAGGAAAACAAAGGGTTGGTTTTCAGTTCTTTCTTCCTGGGCATGTAGGGTCCAACTGCTCACCTACTCCCAGTCCTAAATGCTATTTGCTTTGGGAATCATTTTAAAAGTCTCTGCCTTCATCTACTTACCAGATAATAACTCTGCCGCGTCAGAAAACTCCCTTCTTGTTTCTTGTGCTCAGGCATTATAAGTTTATCTAGCCTCCCTATAAGTAAAGACATCGTCCAGGAGAATAATATTCATTAGCCTTTAAAGAACTAAGCACCCTATTTAAGTATGATGCCCATATCCCATCTGATTGGAAACATTTCTATTAAAGTTGCTTTTTCCCCCCTTTGGTAACTTGTCTCCACATTAGGTCAGCCCACTGATCCCACCTTCATCCTTAGCTGTGCACCATGCAATGTGATCTGCTCTATCCTCTTCCGTGACCGATTCAAGTACAATGATGAGAAATTTCTCCATCTGATGAACTTGTTAAATGAAAACTTCCGCCTCATTAACGAACCAGGGATACAGGTAAGGCCAGAACTCTCTTCTTATTCTGTGGTTGTTTGCTGAGTTTCAGCAACAAGATCAATATACCATAGCCTCTCATCTCTTAGCCAAGGTCCCAACGCTCATGAGAACACACACACACACATTCACACACACACATGTCACTCAAGGACAATAACATCATGCAATATCTTTGGCTCTCAATAAGCTATTAGGTAGATATCCTGTTCCTAGTTGGCACCTGCACTAGATTGTAGATCATTAAAATTGAAGTTATATGGAGAAGTGTTTGACTGGCGCCTGGGGTATCTCTTCACAGATGTGACCAAGTAAAAGAGTTATCAAAAAAGAACCTGCCCAGGATATCCAGGAGAGAATAGGAAGGGCAAGCCACTTAGATGAGTAACCTACACTGATTCTGGTGGTGATCTGGCTCTGCCTCTACAATGGATGGACATGTAGGATCAAAACCTTCATCCACTGAAGCCAGAACTGAAGATCCTCATCCAGCTGAAAAACAAGCTTTCTTTTCCTTTGCCTATGTTCTGTTCCAGTTACATTCTGGAATATGTACTTACAGTTTGGAATAGGTACTCTAGCTAAACCCTTCTGTGGTAGAATGTAAATTTTTTTTGAGGATGAAGACTGCTTCATTGTTGTCTATAGCACCATAGCCTAGGACTTGGTTCATAGCGAGTACGGAAAAAATGCTTGATGCATTTTATTAACTTAACGTGAATTGAACTGAATTAATTGGATACCTTGGTGCCTGTTTATCTTCTTTTTTTTTTTCACGTTGGCCATTCGAAGGCAAGTAGATTTCCCCTTAACTCAAATATGAGCTTCTTTTGAACAACGACAAAATATTATGCCATCTGGTCACCTCAGTGGGTAGCACAGCACCAGATAGATTAGTTTTGAGATATTTGACAACTTAAGGTTAGATTTGAGAGGATTTATGAACCTCTTGACAAGGTGGGGATTTGTTTTGCCTCATTATGTGTATTTTCTTGGATGGTTTTGTTTTTCTTTTTTGTTTGTACCAATGTGCAGTGAAGATGAGAGAGAAAATATATTTTGTCAATGAAAAATTTAATTAAATTTAAAAAAAGAAATGGAATCTCTAATTTATAATGAGAGATTTTAAATAGTTTCTTCATGACAGTAAATTCACATGTGTTTGTTTTGGTTTGGGGTGTGTGTATGCAGCTCTACAACTTTTTACCAGCATTCAGAGCATACCTCCCTGGAGAACACAAAAGAATTTTAAAAATTAATGAGGAACTTAAAGATTTCATTTTGGAAAGAGTGAAAGAACATCAGAAGGTCCTGGACCCCAACAACCCTCAGGACTACATTGACTGCTACCTCTCCAAAATGCAGCAGGTAAGATGCATGGGGGAAGCACCTTACCTGTTGAGTAAGGCTGATATTCCAAGGATTCTTACAGGCCACAAGCACAGAAAGGGACATGAGAGAGAACCTCAAAGTACGCACATCCCCCAAGGATGCCACTGGCTTTCTAGTAACTGGTCTTTGGTCTGCTCGTATCCCTTATCTGAAGTCTGGATGGAAAAATGAGATTGGAAGAGTTCTGCTTTTCTGGGTGATGAGCTGGTGATCTGGACTTTCCTGTTTGGAAGGGGATATTGTATTGGAGAGTGATAATAGGAATCAACTAATAAATATTTACCAAGCAACTACTATATGCCAGGCACTCCGCTTAGTGCCAAAGACACAAAAGAGGCAAAAGACAGCCCCTGCCCTCAAAGAGTTCACAGTCTTATGGGGGAGATTATATGTAAACAAATGTATACAAAGTAAGCTCTAAACAGGAGAAATGGGATGCAGAGCAGGGCTTGGAGTCAAAAAGACTTGAGTTCAAAGCCAAATTCAGACACTTCTTAGCTGTGTAATCCTGGGTAAGTCATAATCCTCATTTGTAAAATGGGGATAATAGCATTTGTCTCCCAGAATGGTAATGACGATAATTTTTATAAAGGACGTGGTGAACTTTTAAACATTATATAAATACTAGCTCAAAATCTAGCTATAATTTTCTCTCATAAAATCACTCAAAATTAATTAATTTCAGGAAGGGAACAGTATTAATTTTGCCTCACAGAAAAATGAAGATGATACAGAAGCCTCCCAGAAACCCACAAACCTATTCAGAAAACAAATAAAGCACTTACGGTATCTCATAATCTCCCCAGCTCAGAGTTGTCATCAGGACATCAGCCCAACATTCTAGTTAATCCTTAACTGTCCTCCAGTCCTACATGGTTCCACTCAGACTGATACAGGAAGCTAGGTGGTGGTATGGATAGAGTGCCAAGCCTGAAGTTCAAAAGACTTGTGTTCAAATCTGGAGTCAGACATGGTATAGTATAGTATAGTATAGTATAGTATAGTATAAGTATAGTATAGTATAGTATAGTATAGTATAGTATAGTATATTAATAGTATAGTATAGTAATATTATATATAGTATAGCAAAGCATAGTATAGTATAGTATAGTATAGTATAGTATAATACAGTATAGTATTAATATAATATAAATAGTATAGTATAGTATAGTATAGTATATAATATATATATTAATATAATATAATAATATAATATAATATAATATATATATATATAATATAATATAATATAATATAATATATATAATATAATATAATATAATATAATGCAATATAATATAATATATTTATATATTAAATATAATATAATATAATATAATATAATATAATATAATATAATAATAATATAATATAATATAATATAATATAATATACGTATGTAATATAATATAGTGTAATATAATGTAATATAATACGATAAATACGATACAATAAGTACGATACAGTACGATACAGTACGATACAATACGAAATAATATCATAAATACATATAATATCACATAATATCACATAATATCACATAATATCACATAATATCACATAATATCACATAATATCACATAATATCACATAATATCACATAATATCACATAATATCATATAATATCATGTAATATAATATAGTATAGTGTATAGTATAACTCTGAGCAAGTCACTTAACCTCTGTCTTCCTTCATTTCTTCAGTTGCAAGATGAATATAATAATATCGACCCCTATGGTCATAGTAAAGATCAA